AAAAAAGATCTAGAATAACCCCAAATCTTCTACCTTTTATTACAGACTGAGGCTTAACAGCAAAACAACTGTTTACAGTCAAATGAGAGGCCATTTAAACCAAAATTATTATTTTAAGGGAATAAAGAAGTATTAATATTTATTTTGTCTCATGGAAATTACTGATTCGTCATTATGAGAATAATAACAGTAATTCTAACAGACTAAATTAAAGTATATAATAAAAATTTTCACCTTATTTCATGATTCTTACTTTTTCTCTGCTTAACATTGCATAAAAATATAACTTTCTAAATTAATTAAAGAGATAAGATAAGTTTAGGGTGTCACCCAGGCAGAATACATCTAAAAAGTTTTAAGTCCATGTGCAATTTTTTAAAATATTGTTACAACTTTTAAAACTAACAAAATGCTTGATATCAGCTTGATACTCCTCTCTGAACTGTTTTAAATTTTAAATGCTATGAGAACAATAATAACTTCAATAATTTTAGAACCAATCTAATTTAAATGCTTCTCATGCTAGCAGTAAAAAAGCCAGGAAATGATCTCTGCAAACAAAATTTAATTTATTTTTGTCTTTTAAATTGAAAGCAAAAGTTGCACACAGAATCACCTGGGCCAGGCTCAGAATAGCCTAGCACTGCTTTTATATAATGGCTCTGATAATGAGAAAAAACAATGGTTTGCCAGTGGCACAATGAAAACAAAATTTTGATGAAAATATTTATGAAACAATGTTCCAATTCAATTATATGTTTCAGTTCATTCATATTTAAGCACAAAACTTTTTATCACCACTCTCATTGAAATGCTTCCAAAAATTATTAGTACATGCCCCTCACTTTAGTAAAACTGGGATATAGTGATTACAATTGATGCTATGTTGGACAGGAGCCACAAACACTTTAGGGGCCGGATACAATGGGTAAATAAATGAGGGAAGTCAAACAAAGCATATCTAAGAGCCTCACATCTAGCCTTTAGTAATGGCCTCCAAATGTCTTTTATTAAGCAGTCTTTTATTGAAAGCTGTTTTTTATTAGGTAGTCCTGTGCTGTTTGTCCCTTACATTTATACACCACCACCCAACATCCCAGTGAGGTGTGGATATTGCTATTACCTCTATTTCACAAATGAGAAAATAGAGACATTAAAAAGGATCAGCCCTATATAGTATTGTCTATGGTAAATGCTAAGCAGTGTTGACATCAGGACATGAGTCCCTACTCACCACTAATCTGGGCACACAAAATGGTAAACAAAAAGCCTTTACCCATATTAGCACATTTAATCCCCACCACAACTCTGAGAGGTAGATACTAGTATTTATACCTATTTTATACATATGGAAACTGGATCAAAGAGAGGTTAAGACAGCTGGCCAGTGTTACATAGCTAATAATTGCAGAACCAGGAGTTGAGATCCCGGTGGTCTCTTTCCAGAGCCCCTGCTCTTGGTATGGTTCTCAAATGGAGCAATTTTGCCCCCCAGAGGGCATTTCAATATCCAAAGACATTTTGGTTATTAAAACTGGGGGAAGAGGGAAATACTGGCATCTAGTAGATAGAGGCCAGGGATGTTGCTAAATATCTTCCACTGCACAGGACAGCCCCTCACCAACAACAGAGAATACCTGGCCCAAAATGTCAATAGTGCCACTGATGGAAAACCCCAGTCTATGCAAAAATAGGCTACTGCAATAGACAGGGACTGACAACACATAATTTAAAGTCTTCATCTCTAAATAAATCTCTGCTATGAGATTGCTTTCACGTTATTTGTCTCTTTCATCTAAAAAGTGAACTGTAAAAAAATAATCTAGGTAATTGAGTACTTTATTTACCAAGACACTGGGGTTTTTTCATATCTTATTATAATATTCAATACTATGGATTCTATATTATCTTACAAAAATTTATTCTGAATCTCACTTTTATGAAAAGAACCTTAAACACTTCTTTCTTTGCCACTTATATGCACATTATTAAAATTCTTTCATACATCTCCACACAGTTATCTCTTTAACCGAAGTTGCTTTCAATGAATCTTTCTTAACCTACACTTCCCTTCTGACATTTTTAAGTTATTTCCCATAAGTCACAGTGAAGGTGTTGGTGAAGAAGAAAAATGTGGAAGGAATCCCTTTGCCCTAAATTACTTAGCAGCTGTGTGGTACATTACTTTCTCTTCTTCTCCCTGAAATGCCTGTTATCTCTGTCAATTATTTTCAGAGTTTAGAGAAACAATACATAATGGGTTAGACAAAGGGGGAGTTAGAGATGAGAAACAGTGACGTCAGTAGAGCAGCTGGCTGAGAGGGAGTGTTCCTGCTAGCGAAATACAAGACATAAAAGATAAAATGCTTAAAAGATAATGTGCCTCACACAGGAAAGGGGAGGGGCTTCAATAATGGCCATTAGTCCAAGCTCTCCTGGTTTATTTAAACATCTGTTACACATTTGTAATTTTGACAAATCTGTGTCAAGGTGCTCGCTTTTCTTTTAAAACTGATTTCTTCCTAAGGCTAAAAAAAAAGTTCTTTTAAGCTTAAAACCTAACTGACCTTTTTAATGAGCTTCTGACCAAACTAGAACTTTCTAGATTTAAATTTTGTGTATTTTTGGTCAATGTGACTTTCTGGTTTTGAAAGAGGAAAGAGATTAAGAAGGCTCGGAAAGCTGCTTACATCTTGGACTGTTCTTTAAATATTGATTTTATATGTGTGAAGTATAAGCCGGTTAAAAAAATATATGGATTAAATTTTCCTTAAATATGAATGGTTTTAAAAATTAAGAAGGGGGAATGCCTGGCAAACTGTAATTATTGTTTGTCTAAGCAAAAATATTTGAAGAGTAGTTGCTGCCTTTAAAAAAATACTCATTTACCTTTCCTTTACTTGTTCTCTTTAATTTACTAGCATTATGCAAACTGTCATAAATCTGTTTTAAGAGTATACATATTCATAGAAATAAGGAATAAGAATTTATCTGGTAGAATTTATATTTGGAGGAATGTTTTTCTATTACTTTAAAATTATATTTTAAGAAATGCTCTGGGCAAGAACTTTTCTTATGGAAATCCATGTGGTAATACTTTTTAAACCTCTTCATAAATTGGTTTCATATCACATTTAAATGCAGTTCATGAAAATTTGATTTACTTCTACCACAGCAATTATAGATTATATAAAAATAAAAGCATATTTGTTATGGCTATTATCTTAGTCCATTTGGGCTGCTATAACAAAAAAGCATAAACCGGGTGACTTATAAACAGAAATTTATTGCTCACAGTTCTGGAGGTTGGAAAGTCCAAGAACAAGGCACTGGCAAATTCAAGGTCTGGTGAGAGCCTACTTTGTTTCATAGGTGACATTTTCTAGCTGTAACCTCACATGGTAGAAGGGGCAAGGGAGCTTTTTCCAATGCCTCTCTTTTATAAGGGCACTAATCCCCTTGATGAAGGTTCTGCCTTCATGACCTGATCACCAACCAATACCATCACTTTGGGGGTTAAGATTTCAACATATGAATTTGGGGAGGGAGACACGAATATTCAGATCATAGCACTTACTCACGTTAGTGACAATATTTTTAAGCACAAGGCTATCTCTTATGTCTGTATATGTAAGTTTAAAATGTGGGTCACAGAACTTAGGCTAGAAGTGAAACTACTAAAATTAGCTCTTTTACTAAGTTCACATAGTTGCCAAAATACAGAAATGTTAACCAGTATGGTTTAATGAAATTTTCCCTTAAGAAGAAAAAATTAGCAATGGAGGGTGAAGTGGGGAGTACAAACTACAGAGTAATATGAACTTGAATCATACACTGCTGATTAGACTCAGTCACATGAGCCTTGGCTAACACAACTAGGCACCAATGAACAGGTGGGGACCACTACAATGGAAGTCTGACATCATCTCTCTAAGAGATGTCTAGTATGAAGCTGTTATTTGAGATTATTACTTTAATCTCTAGAAGAGAATTCATAGAAAGAAAAAATATCAAGTATAACGTCTAACTATATAACTTAAGATATAGCAATTTCCGTAGTTGTCAGACTTCTCATATTTACTAAATTTTATTCCCTTTCTACTCATCCCAACCTTTCTCACTACACAAAGAAGGTAACAGCTGGCTCTACAGAAGTTTTCTTTATCAAAGTGCAACAGATTTATTATATATATATAAAA